GGGTGGGTGGGTGGGTAGGTAGGTAGGTAGGTAGGTAGGTAGGTAGGTAGGTAGGTAGGTAGGTAGGTAGGTAGGTAGGTAGGTAGAGAGGTAGGTAGGTAGGTAGGTAGGTAGGTAGGTAGGTAGGTAGGTAGGTAGGTAGGTAGGGAGGTAGGTAGGGAGGTAGGTAGGGAGGGTAGGTAGGTAGTAGGTAGGTAGGTAGGTAGGAGGTAGGTAGGCAGGCAGGCAGGCAGGCAGGTAGGTAGGTAGGTAGGTAGGTAGGTAGGTAGGTAGGTAGGGTAGGTAGGCAGGTAGGTAGGTAGTAGGTCAGGCATGTAGGTAGGTAGGTAGGTAAGTGGGTAGGTAGGTAAGTGGGTAGGTAGGTAAGTGGGTAGGTAAGTGGGTAGTAGGTAAGTGGGTAGGTAAGTGGGTAGGTAAGTGGGTAGGTAGGTTAGGTAGGTAGGTAGGTAGGTAGGTAGGTAGGTAGGTAGGTAGTAAGTGGGTGGTTGGGTGGGTGGGTTTTGGGTGGGTAGGTTTTGGGTGGGTGGGTGGGTGGGTGGGTGGGTTTTGGGTGGGTGGTGTGGGTGGGTAGGTAGATAGGTAGGTAGGTAGTGAGTCATATTCTCATCATCAGTAGACGGAGTATCGAGTCTCCGACACTCCTTGTGCCGAGTAGCCCCACACAGCATTAACGTCCTTCACACAAAATAGAATAGAACATCCCACCCTGTTTATTTCCCGTCCATACTTGAACCAGGTGTTTATGAGCATTTCAAAGGCCATCCGACAGTCTAGGCATATGCAGTCCACCCTTCCCTTTCTTGTCTCATTTTCGCTAGTCTGAAAATGAATTCTATAAGGATGGAGAGGCGTGAGGCTGCATCTCTCAACCAGTGTTGTTGGTATCACTCTCCAGGTGGTCTTCACCTTCACTGTTTGTGAGATGTTGAGGGGAAGCGCTAAGCCCGTAGGGAGAAGGGCATACAGCGCTTGGAGAATGGAAGGCGATCAGGATGAATCCGAGAAAGGTAGCCCCCCAATTCCTTAAATCAAGAGCCCTTCAGAAAAGCATCAAGGCGCTACAATACAAGTTTTGAACACGTTGATGCCATGGTCACCCACCTCTGAGGATGTAGGACGTCTGTCCTACGGTTAGCAGACGGAGGATTGAGTCTACACTACTTGGGCTGAGATATCCCACAAGGGTTTAGCGCTTTATATAACCGTACCACCATAGCTCATTTGAGTTACAAATCACAACACAAAATCTGTCTTTCACCTTCAATGTGCCTGTGACTGATTTCGAGAATGATTTTACTAAAGAAACTGAGTCTCTGGCCACGCTTCACTGTCGACTGTCTGACCAAGCAGGCTGTTGCTGCCAGCGGCCAACATGTCTACATAACCATTACATAACTGATCTAACAAGTATTTCCGGTAGTTTCCTATTGGAAACCCACTATCTACTGTATCCGGAGTTATGTTCTGTATCTCTGCTGTATCTATAGACATGTTCTGCATCTCTGCTGTATCCGGAGTTATGTTTTGCATCTCTGCTGTATCTATAGACATGTTCTGTATCTCTGTTGTACCCGGAGTTATGTTTTGCATCTCTGCTGTATCTATAGACATGTTCTGTATCTCTGTTGTATCCATAGAAATGTTCTGCATCTCTGCTGTATCCATAGACATGTTCTGCATCTCTGCTGTATCCGGAGATATGTTTTGTATCTCTGCTGTATCTGGGGCTATCTTTTGTATTTGTTGTATCTGGAGATATGATAAGTATCTCTACTGTATCCGGAGATTGAACTCTAGGTTCAAGAAGGCTGTCATAGTATACTCATCAAGTTATGTTTTGCGGGGAACGAGTCTCGGCTCCTGGTCCCGTCTCAACCTACAATCGCTGGAAATATTGGTTCCTAGTCTCGTGGGTCCTATCATACCTACTCATGAAACTGTGTACTGTGTTTGCATGTGCCACCCCGTTATATTGCTCCCGTTTATTTATTACCCTGAGACGGAGAATATATTTCCATATATCTCTGTGGTTCATATGTATCTAGTTACCACCTATGACTTCTTGTCCCTATTTTCCTTCATTTAAACACACACACACACACAAAAAGCCTGTGTCCCTATCTGCTCTGCGGAAACCTTCTGAGTATCTTGTATGTCATAATCGTGTCTCCCCTAATGCTTCTATCTTCTAAAGTCGTTAGGTTCAGTTCCTTTAGTGTCTTCATAATTGAATGGTCTCAGCTCTGGGACTAGTCTTACCGCAAACCTCTGGACCTTGTCTAGTTTTTGCATATGCTTGAACAGGTGATGAGGCTCCATGCTGGTGCTGCATACTCCATAACTGGCATGACATGTGTCGTGCAAAGAGTCCTAAAAGACTGTTAGTTGAGGTTCTTGAAAGCAGTTCTGAGGTTGGCTAACCTCGCAAATGCTATAAATGTCTTGTGATTCCTGAGGCACCACTAGTGATATGTTGAGTGTGATGTTCACTCCATGACCC